AAGAAACAAATTAATGTTGGCACTATTGCAAATGTGTGTGTGTGTGTGTGTGTGTGTGTGTGTGTGTGTGTGTGTGTGTGCGCGTGTGTGTGTGTGTGCGCGCGTGTGTGTGTCTGTGTGTCTGTTTCTGTGTGTCTGCGAGTCTGTGTGTCTGTGTGCCTGTGTGTTTGTGTCCGTCTGTATTAGCGTGTGTTGTTTACATGTTCAAAGAAAGAAGGCTCTCCGTACCTTCATAATCAAAAATTTTCAGCCAGTCTGTAATATTGCTTTTCACATTAAAGTTATTTAGTGATCCTATGTTATGACATCTGTTAAGTTTATTATATAGCCAAATGCCTAGTGTGCGTGTGCGTGTGCGTGCGTGTGTGCGCGCGCGCGCGTGTGTGTATGTGTGTCTCTCTCTCTCTGTGGGGTGTGTGTGTGTGTGTGTGTGTGTATGTGTGTGTGTGTGTGTGTGTGTGTGTGTGTGTGTGTGTGTGTGTGTGTGTGTGTTGTGTTTTTGTTGTGTGTGTGTGTATGTGTGTGTGTGTGTGTGTGTGTCTGTGTGCCTGTGTGTCTGTGTGCCTGTGTGTCTGTGTCTGCATTAGCGTATGTTGTTTACATGTTCAAAGAAAGAAGGCTCTCCGTACTTTCATAATCAAAAATTTTCAGCCAGTCTGTAATTTTGCTTTTCAATTCAAAGTTATTTAGTGATTTTATGTTATGACATCTGTTAAGTTTATTATATAGCCTAGGGGCTAAAAAGTCAAAATGTCTTCTAAACACAGCACTATTGGGTTTTGGAACAGGACATCGTTCTTTTCTCTTATTGCTTCGTATTAGTTTAGGGACAGTGACGCGATGATATCTCCTTAAACTTTGAAAAATAAAAGTTTTGCGGACAGATAACACTTTCGCTTTGTCATACAAAGACACTGTTGATTGGCGAAATGGTAGACGAAAAATGACTTTTAAAATAGCTCTTTGTGCGCGTTCAACCTTTATTAAATAGCTTTTAAGAGGAAGTGTTGCTTGCATACTTGTCAATCCTGATTAGTTGTCGCCTATCAGATAGGTAGTCCCTAAACCAGTTGTAGACAACACCTCTTATACCCATGTTTTCCAAACGGCTAAGCAATATACGACACTGTATCAAAAGCTTATTGTAGGTCCAAGAAAACACATTTTTTACTATAGTTAAGATATTTTGATACCAGTGATGTTAATCTTAATACGGCATCTTCTATTGACCTGTCCGAACGAAAGCCAAATTGATATTATCAAATACCCGCTAATGTATTAAAATACTTTCAAGAATTCTTAGCAGAACCTATTTCATATATTTGTAACACTAGTTTTATCACCGGTTATTTTTCCAACTACATTTAAAAAGTCAATAGTAATCCCAATTCACAAATCAGGTGACAAATCTTGACGTATAATTATATACCTATTTCGCTCTTGTCTGTTTTTTCCAAAGTAATCGGAAAATTAGTAAATAAAAGACTAACAAACTACTTAGAGACAAATAGCTATATTTGATAAATCTGTTCGGATTCAGATCTAACAAATCAACCAAAGATTCTCTTCTTATACTTACAAAAAATATTACTCAACATGTAAATAAAGGTGACAAATGTATAAGTGTATTTATTGACTTGCAGAAAGCTTTCAATACCGTCTCAATACAAATTTTATTGACTCGATTACAAAATGTGGGTGTCCGACGTGTAGTTCTGTCATGATTTAGAACTTATTTAAATGGGAGAACTCAGCATGTCAGAGTTGATAAAGTAGTCAAGACCTTTCTTGTTCGCACGGTGTCAAACGGTCAAACACTCGCGTCAAACGGTGTTCATAATTTCGTAAGGAACAATATGGTGCTCTATGCTGATAATATACACACCGGCACAATTATCGGAACACAAAAAAAGCAGGATTTTAAAATCTTTTACTTGAGGAACTGGGCAGTTATGATATTTTTTTAATTTATTGTCAAATTTGAAAATAGAAAATTAGATGATATACACTTTTTTCATTCATTTGTTTTATTTTCCCGAACAATACGTTTTGTCAACTTGTTCGAGTAATAACTACGTAATTGTAATTTTTTTGAAAAATTGCACTTAATGGTTTTTTATGAATTTGTTATTCTATAGGCAATTTTGTTTATTAAAAGCTCTTTATTATGCCTGACTTAACATCACTGGAAATCATTAGGGCTGATGAAATGAGAAGAAATAGCCATACCTACAGATCGATTGCATCAAGGCTTCGTCGACCAGTATCAACGATTCATCGCAGCATCCAGCGCTACAGATCGTCTAATTCTCTTGTGAGGAGGAGGGGTCAAGGTAGAAAAAGATGTACATCGAGGCGAGATGACAGTTTTTTACAACTTGGAGTTCGTAGGAATACGCGATTAACGGCTGTATAAGCTCGAAATGAACTGGAAGACGTTCGAGGAGTACGAGTAAGTGAGCGTACAGTTCGCAGGAGATTTGAAGAAGTTGGTTTAGGGTCTTATATACCTGCAAAAGGCCCAAAACTTGAGAGACGTCACCGCGTAAACCGATTAAGCTATGCGCGAGAACATCGTCATTGGGATTTGAACGAATGGCAGCAGGTTCTCTTTACTGATGAGTGCAGAGTTCTTTTAAAACAGATCGATGGGAGACAGCGAATATGGAGACGCAAAGGAGAACGCCACATACAGTCTAATTTTGAACACACAGTGGCTTATGGTGGCGGCTCGATTATGGTTTGGGGAGGGATATGTTTGGGAGCTCGCACGGAGTTAGTGATAGTCACAGGATGGACCATGACAGCAGATCGGTACATCAGAGACATTTTAGAAGAACATGTTGTACTATTTGCCCCATTTATTGGTGACGACTTTATTCTAATGCAAGATAATGCTCGTGCTCATAGTGCACAATCGGTACAGGCATTTCTGAGCCACGTAGGTATACCGGTGATGCAGTGGCCAGCAAATTCCCCCGATATGAATCCGATAGAGCATGTCTGGGACTTGCTAAAAAGAAGGGTTAAATCCAGAATGCCACCCCCCAACAATCTGAATGAACTTGGAAACGCATTACTTGAGGAGTGGGAGCGGTTGCCTCAAGAAATCGTCGATAACATAATCTGTAGCATGCCCAGACGAATGGAAACCGTAATCAGAGCAAGAGGGGGAAACACTCGTTATTAATTTTGCTTTAATTTTATTGTTAAATCATTTAATGCTTACTTTTTTATTTTTTGTGATGGTTCATAATCATCTAAAAATTTCACTTATTTCAAATTTCTTTATTTTTCAATAAAAAATAACGAAGACTTTTCAAAGTCGTTGTTAAAAGATGTTAATCAATTTGTTATTTTGTGTCTAATTAAATTTTCGTCAAATATATGCGTTATTATCTCATAGTCTCACTTTTTTTTTCTGTTCCGCTAATTGTGCCGGTGTGTATATAATAGCTGTTTTCAGAGCTGAATTTTCTATGTTTCATGAGACGTTGAGTGTAGCTATATACGTATAAAGATCATAGTTACCACTCCTGTTTTATAAAAGATGAGTTCATATAGACACTCTGATATCTTTAATTAATACATAGTAGTAGTAGTTTACATGATAATAAACTCTTTCTTTTTAAAATGTTTTGTTTGACAGTTGTCCTTTAATAACGTGATTTTCAAATTAATTTGTGTCGTTCATTTGATAAGTGATAATTTGTTTGTGTTTGAATTGAAAAAATAAAATTGAAAAAAAAAACCTCAAAACTTTCCGTTTAAGCAACGTGGTAAAAATGTTTAAATATGCAAACAGGAGATGACTGTAAATGCACAAGAACCATCACTCGAATGTCGGGGTCATTTTGGCCAATATGGCGCATCTGTCGAGCACTTTCCGAAGTACTAAGTATATAATAAGTATACTAAGTATATATATATATATATATATATATATATATATATATATATATATATATATATATATATATAGTAATCCTAAGGTAAAATATATTTTTATATTATTCTAATATAAATGTTGAGTAAAGCGTATGTATATACAATCCCATTACATATATATTGTAGTTTTAAAACATGGTTCAAAATGTTTTTTAATAATTAGAAAGATATATGTTTTATTGATTTTCTCAAAAGAAGTCCCACCCGGCAATGATCTTTCTTTCGTTGTGCCTTTCGATTGTGAAGATAATATTTTTATAAATTTGGTCTTCTTGGAAATAAAAAAGATAAATTTAAAGAAGGTCTGCGTGGAGTATTCGTGATAGGCAATAATGAAGTTATATCGTTATTTTCGAGACGCCATCTTCCCATTGTTTAAGGACCCTTCTACTTCACTATCAATACTACCTGGTGGTGCATAAATTTTAGCAGAATTTGTACTTTTTATTAAAAAGTTGTGAAGATGACATATTGTTATCACAATCAGTTGTGCCGTTTCAGGTTGGAGTAGCATTGGCTTTCGTAGTACTCTAAAAACACTAGCTGAAATGTCAAAAGCATTTTCAGCCACTCGTCGAGCTCTTGATAATCAATAATTAAAATTTTTTTTAATGATCGTTTAGGATGTACACCTGGATATGGCTTCATATACTTATTCTTCAGATACCTGACGGGAATGCACAGTCTGCTACAATATAGTATGGTATAATGTTATTGGTTCGTTTGAGTTGTTTGAAATTTTTTCCTTGAGAATGGAATCATTAAATACACCTCCATTGGAAATTCTCCCTTGACACCCTACATCGACAAATAAAAATTTATATGTAGCATCAACTAAAGCGAACATAACAATACTAAAAAATCGTTTATAATTATAAAACTCCGATCTGTTATTGAAAGGTGCCTGCAACATAATGTGTTTCGCGGCCATTGCACCAACCACGTGTGGAAGATTCCAACAGTTTTGAAACTCGGAACTAATTTCCTCCCATTCTTGATGCGATGTAGGCATCTGTAACAAATATATTGCAATTATTTTATTTTGTTTGCAGGAAGGCCAAGACCGCGCTTCGAAGGATAATACATCTGACAATGAGGAAAATGACCACATAGGTGAAGATCATGATCAGTCACAAGATAAACAACCCCGTTCCACCGCGAGCACTGAATCGGACCAAACAACCGATAATGCAAAGAATTCATCAAAATCGGAATTCAAATCTCCACTTCCGAAAAATATGTCGCGAACCATGACCCAATGTTGCAATTGGCATTTGATTTGCTGAAATTATCAGCTTCGGCTGCTAAAGCGATAGCTACTGCTTCAACCGCACCCGCTACTGGATTAGACCAGAGCTATACGCTAATTATTTGGCAGTCAAATTTAAGGATTATTCCAAGCAAACCTACATGGCTGTGGAACATCAAATAAACAACATCCTATACAACGCTGATTGTTGACAATAGGAATATCAGCGCGGGTACTCCACTCCGGCATCTACATATCCCATGGCTGAGACTACACCTCCTCAAATGTCTGTAAATTCTTCTTATTCAAACAGAGCACAAAGTTTAGCCCCGTGCATGACTGAAAATCAAGTACATTCTCCAGTGACTCAAGTGGATGATTCGTCGATGGATTCCGAAGATTCTTTTCGTGATTTGATCCATGACATCAAATATTAGTTATAAACAATTATTGTTTATTGTTTATTACTAATAATTGATGTCATGGATCAATTATTGTTTCTATAATAAAAAATATCCTACCTTGATGTTGTCTTTTAATGCCTCCACGATAGCTTAACAGGTCTCTGAAACTATAACACTTATCGATTGTTTAGAAACTTTAAATAAATATTGTAGGCTTGTATAGGAATCTCCGCTGGCTAAATATCTCAAAGTGATACTCAATCTTTCTTCAACAGAAATTGCTTTCCTGTATGTAGTATCCGTTTTTTTAATTTTGTGGTTAATCAAATTTATCAAATATTCGAAGTCATTAGGTGCCATACGCGTGAAGTTTTTGTATTTACTACTTATGTGTTGAAATCTTAGGTCTCTCATCAAAGCTCTTCCTCCAAGTCTGTTTCTGTTTCTAAATAATTCGGTTTGCCACCACCGTCTCTGTTTTGGTTTTGAGATTAGAATATTGTGAATGACAATAAAACAGGCACATGAAATTGCTAAATTCTCGTACACTTCAACCAACTGCGACGACATGTTTGATCGAGAGCAGAAACTGAACTGGGTAATTTGATACGCGATCATGACTATTGTGAAGATACGGATACGGAGCAAATCGGAGGCGTCCACAACTTGATACGGGGCTTGATACAATACTCAGATACGGAACGGTGATAGGATCGGACAAATTATACATGTCTGGATCCGGTTAGCCGTTTTTTCTTAATTTCATCACGCAACCGGCGTAAAAGAATTCAGTAATAAGTAGAGTTTATGGTGGTTCCTTTCGGTAGATAATCGACCATAATGACTCCTTCGAATCCCAGAATACCAATACCATCACCTTGCTTACAGACAAAATCACTTTAGCTTTCATCGGAGGAGTGAGCCTGGTCCCCTCTATTCTTTAGATTGTTGTTTTGACTCAGGAGTATTATAATGAACTCATGTTTCATTAGTAATGACAAATCTCTCTAAAAAGTTTTGTGGATTTGCTTGAAACAACTCTGGCTCTTTGGCTGAAAGGAGCCTCGGTACCTATCTCGCAGAAATCTTCGAAAACCCCAATTAATTATGAATTATATTTTGAGTTCGTTCATACGATATGCCTTTGATCTCAGATATCTCTCTGATTTTCAATTTATGGTCCCCCAGTATCAAATCGCAAATTATTTTGGATGTTTTCTTCAGTACTAGAAGTTGATCGTTGATGGTTGTATACGATGGAACAGATTCTTCTAAAGTCGCCACTTTATCTTCGTGAATCTGTTTCGGCGTTAACCATTTTTAAAAATCGCTTCACTTAACGCTCAATAAAACACTGTAAGCTATTAACCAAAAGTAACACTAAAATGAAACTTCCCACAATAACAATTAAATCATCACTGAATATAACGAAGGCAGAAAGAAATAAAATTTTTAATCATATCTGCTACGAGAGAAAATCATGTACGGCAGCGGATTGATAAAGAATGGCTGATAAAGACTTAATTATATGTTCCAATTCTGGGTGCGGTACACTCTGGGTGTGGGACATAGACGCATTTATATTTTTTTTGAACGCATATATATATACGAGTATACATATATGAAGGGTACATATTATATAAAGGGTACTGTTATTTTGTGTTAGTTTTCAAATTAAATAATGCCTATATTTTACTTTTTTAAATATTGTGATAAATTACAGCATACATTTTGTATTGAAAATTTCCGTATGTGAGTCCATTTATTTCTCCTACATTAATCTAACACACATCTAAATCTAAATCTCGATCGTTGTGCATTGTGGTAAGGAAAACATTTAAATGCCAATATATTTCAATAAATTCTATATTACAAAAGTATCATATTATACCTAATATGTATAGTAATTATACCAATCTAAAAGAAAAATAAATAAAAATTTGTAATTTTTTTTATTATTATTTGTAAAGCATGTATTTATGTACACGGAAATAAAAAATGTTTAAATCTTACTTCCCATAAGCTTAAAACCGCATGCTCCAGTTTCAGTAACAATTTTTGACATTTAATTTTTTCTGTAATTTCTTCTACTCTATTTTATTCTATTATTATATAATAATATGTATTTGACTTAAATTCATTTTCACTATATATGCTTGCAAAAGTGTATAAATTATTCAAAACAAGCATTACATAAATCGAACGTGCCAAGGACGGGTACCGTCGGTAAACTCGTTAGTAAAGAAATCGTTATGTGGCCACTGGATGAAATGACATTGGAGTTATATATTTTTACGTTTAGAACTTAATGTTAATACGAGTACATTATCGATGCTATTAGACGATAACCTATTTTTAAACTACATTTCATACCTGAAACAGTATCGATAGATTTATAGTTGTAGCTCAGATGGTTAGCGCTCGCTGTAAATTTCACAGTACGCGAGCAAACCGGGTTCGATCCCCGCCGGCACCAATGAAATTTTTAATTGCAATTTTAAGTGCTGATTTACCACGTGCTCGGCGGTGAAGGAAAACATCGTGAGGAAACCTGCATGTCTGAGAAATAAAAATAAAATATTTCGAAGACATGTGAAGTTCGCTAACACGCATTGGGGCAGCGCGGCGGACACTTCCTTGCCCTAAAACCCTCTCAGAAATGAGAGGAGGCCTGTCCCCAGCCGTGGGACGTATGTAGGCTGTAACTTTACTTTACTTTACTTTACTATTTGGACTAGTTAGAGTTCGGAGCCTCGCTGGGAGAAGTGTGTAAAATGTCTTGTATCTATGTTAGGTCGGAAACATTTCAGAACACCCAAGTATTATATTATATCGGCAACAAATGTTCAAGTTTTTTCAAACAATTACTTATTAAGCAATTTGTTTGAAATAGGACGCACTGCGATATTTTAATTATATGCAACGTAGGTTTATCGGATGATAATCGAAAAACAAATTGAAAAAATATAATCGGTAATTAAGGTAGAGGCTGCCACATAGTAGGTACTATTTACGCTATTATATTTGACAGATTTTTTATTTCATAACAGCTTTTATTCCTAACCAGTGTTATCTCTGAGAGGCATAATACAGAGTAGCGTCTCAATAAAAGGTAGTATTGTAAAATTGTAAATATATTACGTAATACAATTATTCAAAATGAAATGCGAGCTTATGTTGAGTACACTTTCACTTTCACTGATCTAAAAGTAATTTATTTATTTACTTTATTGGAGAAAAAACAGAAAAAAAAGGTATGAAAAAAAATCATAGAAAGTAAAATAAACAGTGGTAATCTGGAACCCCTATAACTTCGTAGTGGATAAAACTAGCCTGTATGTTTTAAATCTATAGATTGACTTGGCTATCGCACTAAGCAATCTAATTTAATATAATATGTATTACTTGTGAGATACATTAAGTTTTCTTGCGTTGGCCAAGTCAATCTATTCATTTGAAACATAAAAGATTTTTAACATTGATATCACATTGATGTCACTATAAAATGTTGTTAGGTTAGCTAATTACGTAATAACCTACAACAGAAGGACCCTTAAGTAGGGACTAAATAAGTTAACTGACTTGATATTACATGGATCTCACAATTTTTTACGGTAGAAGAACTGAATTGGTTTGGTTTGTGGTATGATGGTATTACAACTGTTCCCTGTAAACTGTCTCACTGAGAACATACATATCTAATTAGATATTTATTTAATTACTAATCAGGTCATTACAACTCTTTATTTTACTTTCTATGATTTTTTATCTATATAATGAAGCAGATCGTAATTAGTATCGTCTGCACAACAAGCAGGGTAACAAGTCTATACTTAAATAAAAAGAAAACAATAATCTGAAAACTAAAATATACAATACTAAATATCCTTATATATCTAATTTATAATTGTTATTAAAATACTTTTTTAATTTGGAAATAGAGAACATATCCAAGTCGTTAAGCATTTTATTATGGAGGACACACATTCTGTGTACTGGTGATCTTTTACCAATATTGGTCCTGGTTTTTGGTATATAAAATAAATTTTTTGATCTCGTGTTTTTGGGTGGTATTCGAAACATTGCCTCGGACAATAGCTGTGAACACTTAATCTCACCAACATAGACATTCCTGAACGTGGTGGCGTCAGTTATAGAGCGTCGGTCTTAATCTTAATGATATTATTTGATACGAGTATTTTGATAAGAGATTTTCATATGAATCGCGAATCCGTAAATATATAAGAAATTAGCGTTGAATCTTCAATAACACTACCTAATTGGTATTTTATAACATATTTAGGTTTGATTATAGTAGACGGCTAGGTAGCGCAGCGATTAAACTTTTGGTTGAAACATCTCGGGACCGTTGGTTCAAATTCAGCGCGGAACAAGTGTTACAAAGAATCGTTTTGGGTTTATATGTTTGTCTATGTGCAGTTTATGCAAGTAAAATGCTTCGACGATACACGAAGAAATTCAAGTGAAATATTTTTAAGAGTAAAAGAAATTGGTTTCTAAGTTAAATAAGTTCTGCTTACGATTGGTAATTAAAAAAGCTTAAAAGTTAATCAATCAATATGAACTAGATTTAACCTACAATTTACTATTAGCCGAGTTTAATATTAATAAC